CTTCGGTTTGGGAAGCTGTGGCTGTTTGGCCTGATGGCCAGCGCTGACTCTCCCACCCCAGTCCCTGCACAGCGCACGGACTGACTCAGCTATGGGATGTACAATGAGGTCTGGAAATCACGTGTTAGGTACAGACCAGCTCTGCAAGCAAGTAGCATGTGCTTTCAGACCCTTCAGAAAGCTATTTAATGTCAGCTCATTTCCTTTATTAAACTGAAGGTTCAATAACCTCTGTGGATGGTTAAAAATGGTTAAAAATGTGCAAAAAGGGGGGGGAAGAAACCAGCCACTTTCTGAATTTTCTCCCCTGCAAAGACTTCATCCTCTGCAAGAGTCTTTCTCCCTGCAGAACTACAGCCCTACTAGCGTGTGTTACAGCGCCCTGCCCCAGCACAGCAGGAGCCCAGCCGACAGGTCTGGCAGCACATGGGCTGGCAGGCCTGGGACCTGGCGCTTGGGTCCCAGACCTCCTGCAGCACTGAGACAGGCATGGCGAGGGTGGCTGGCTCGGCTTGCTGGATCACACCAAGGTTTTACACTAGCCTGGCGAACCCTCAGCCCCACAGCCTTCAGGTGGGTGAAGAGAAATCCCAGCCTGCTCTCTGGCTCACCCAGCATCATGGTGGTTGGTCTCCTGCTGGTCTGATGTTTGCCTTGGGTTTGTCTCAGGACAGAGGCAGCTACAAGCCAAACATAGCTGCTACCGCAGCTTTTCTGTACAAAGAAACTGAGCAAAGAAATCTGTGAGCTGGGGATGGAGATGAAGGTGATAAAAAACAGAAGGGCTGCTGTGAAGACAGCTTGTCCAAGTTTTCCAGCTCTCTCTGTGGATCTGTATTACACCTCCCAACAAACTTCATGTCTCCCAAATCACGTGGGCTCAAGGAAAGTGGTTAACAAATGGAGTCGCAGCTTTTTTGGGGTGCAGAAGCAAGAAGCCTGGTTGGAGAGCGGTGCTTCCCGGTGAGCTCACCTGGGGCAGCTGGATGGGCAACTAGAGGAGAAATGCTGCTCCGGGAGGGCAAACATCTCGGCAGGTAATGGGGCCTATCTCAGCATGGCCTTTCAGTGGCCTTTTCTTTTCCTGGTGCCTGCTGTGCTGGTTTCCAGTGACATATCTGAGACATTTTAATGAGGCTTCTTTTGTACCTTCCACTCCCTGATGCAATCCCACCGCCTGTATCACCATTTGTTACTGCAGAAATGGTTCCACAGACCAGGCACAACAAGGCTCGAGGCCACCACCAGTGGCAACTGTGTCTGGGAAGCAACGGGAAGAGCTCCTCTCCAAAGGCGCCAAGGAGAGCTGCAATCTCTCCTGCCAGTGTCTGTGCTGCTCTGCGACACAGCTTGCTGCACAGTTGCATGGGCCACGGTGCTCTGCTCCGTGTCATCTCAATTAGTCCCCAACCTATGCCTCCCCAGCAAGCTGTCAAAGCAGTGCTCAGCGAGGCATCATTTAGCTGCTGCGGTCCTGGGATTGCCACCAACGTCAAGGGAGGCAAAGGAGGGGATGTAGCTGTAATTTTTTGGAAGCAATGCAGCAGCTCAACTGCATAATACAGGGAGTTAAAATACAGATGCCAGCCCCTGTGAGAAACCTGTGTTAATCTTCTGTAGGTAATCCCAGATCACAACCTCTTCCTCTATGCTAAACTGCTGACCCTTCTGCTTCAGGGCTTGTGTGGCTCTGTAAGACAGGCAGGTTTGTCTGATAGATGTGGTTTAAGGTTTGGAGCAATCCCTCTCACAGAAAAGCCTTGAAAGGAAGTAACAAGGATGCAATGTTCTCCTAGAGGTGAAAAGCACCTTAAAATGAAGACCTTCCCATGCCTTCCCCTTAAGCTCAACCTAGTCCAGCTTGCCCTGTGGCACTGCCCATCTATGCAGATGTTTCTTTGGAGACATTAGAAGTAGAAATAGGAGGCTGATGTGAAAAGTCAGCTCTGAAGAGTGGCAGAGGTCAAAGCCAGGGTATATTCATGGTGGCACATGCAGCCTGTACTTGCTCAGCCAAGCAGCAGCCA